AAGCTGCTGTGATTGCCTTCCAGGCTTTCATTCTGTTCCTTCCTCTCACTGAGGTGACTTGAGCACTTTTAGTCTTTCTACTGTTCCTTGCACACACACCCCACGTCCTTTTCTGATGTTCACTGGGGTTTCTGGGGCTGTTTCAGTCTCTTCAAGGTTTGTGGCTTCTCAGCCACATTCAGATATTTCTCTTGGGGCTTTTTCAGCCTCCCTGATAGTTTCTCCCCGTCTCCAAGGCTATTCTCCTTTACTCTTTTAGCCTCTCTCCTATGTTATCAGCTGCAGGCATACTCTTCTAGTGCTCTTCCAGAATCTCTGCTACTTTCTTTTTATTGTCGAGGTCTCTGGTGTGTTCACCACATCTTTCAGGCTTTTTTCTATTTTTTTTCCCCCCTTTGAAGCTACTCTGTGTTCTCCAAGTCTTTTACAGATTTTCCTTTCTTTGATGCTTCTCTTCAGGGCACCCTTGGTACTACTGGGTACTCTGGAGCTCCTTTACTATCCCTGACACTTCCTTGTTATTCCTGAGCCTTTTTGGTATTGTTGGGGTGGGGGGTCCTTTATCTTATTTCTTTCTTGACCTCTTCCACACTGCTACATTTTGTTTCCTTGGGCGCTTACAGGATTTCTTCCCTTCCTTGAGGCTACTTTATGTTCTCTGAATCTCTCTCAGACTCTCTATTGCTTTGTTAGCTTTTGCTTGGCTCCACTGTTTCCTTAGAGGGTCTTTCAGACCATCTTCTACTTTCCTGGCATTTGGAGAGCTTTTCTGTGATCTTTCTCTGTCTCAGTGTTTAATCAAGTTTCACAGTTTCTCTGATACTTCTCACTGTCCTCTGGATGTCTTTCAAGCTCTCTACTACTTTGTCCTCTCTTCAACTACTCTATATTCTTGGACTCCTGCAAGCTCTTTCTTGCGTTATCAGGCTTCCAGAATTTTTTTGCCCCATTTTGGTGGGAGTTTGGGTTATAGAGAAATGAGGTCAAAGAGGCATCTTTTAAAAAATCCTTTATTTTTATATCATCCTAGTAAAAATCTTTTATATAAAGGCGAAAGTAGGCATTGCATAGAAGAAACAGTGGTGCAAACATCACCTGGTGTGAATGGCATGTCATCCCTCAGTGCCTGTCTGCTGCACAGCAGAGGGCTGGCCCCAGGCAGCAACGTCTCCGTGTTCCCCACGATGGCTCCCTACAAGATGAAGCTGCTCAGCTCTACAGAAAGAAGTTACAGCAGAATTGTGTGTGCCCTCTTCCATGCTGCTCAGAAGCACTGTCTGCTGGGACAACACCCCTTCCCTCCACACCTTTTCTACACCTGACCAGGAGAGACCACGAGGAGCAGTCTGTCTGCCTGCCTCCTTCCTGCACTCCTCCTGGGGTGAGCTTGTACTGCTTGCATACAAAGGGCAGTGGACACAGGACAGGAGAGTGGGGCTCACGAGACCATAGTCCAGGAACTCAGTGCATGACATTTACAGGTCATCTTCTGTCTCCTTGCAGACCCTTATGCCATTTCTATTATCTCACATTATGTTTGTAATTAATTATTATGGGTACTTCTTTTGAGCACCCTGCACCTGGGCTTTCTGTAACTGACACTCTTCATATCAGCAGGAGGAACAGAATTCACTGCTCTGACTCCAGCAGCTTTCAAGCAGAGTTCTTCAGGCAGCTCTCCCATTATGTCTCTGCTGAAATCCTGCAGCAGCTTCCAGGCGTGGAGCAGAGAGGGTGGGTAGGGTGGTCTGCAGGGACACTCAGAGAAACAGCACTCCACACATCTGAACTGTGCTTTCATGAATGAGATACAGAGAGGTATGCATTTGTACAAGTCAGTATTTGTGTATATTAGATACTTTCACTCAGTATCAGTTTTTATTTAAAAACATGCAAAAAACTTATAGTTAAATAATCAGAGTGACATTTGGGGAGAACACACAGACAGCCACCCACCAGCATAAGCAAAAAAAGTGCATACATACATGAGCCAAAGCTCCCCTTGACCAGTTTACAGGACAGTTAGTGCCTTCTTTGACAAAGCAACTGGTGCAGCCTCACGCTTCCCAGGGCTGTCTTCTGTGGCCTGGAAAATGGCATTACTTCGCTGCTCCTTCCAGGATGTCTGTCATCCCTTCCCACATCAGAGAGTCAGTCAGAGACACAAATCAGCCCTGCTCTTGACTCCTTTCCTGTAGGTGGCTTTATAGAGATGAATACATGAAGCTCATGTAACTATCTCACTTAATACTGTGCTTAAAATGCCAAAAGTAGTCATTAAAAAAAGATTTCAGGATCTATGCTGCTAGATCATGAAATGGAATGAAGCAGTCTAGAAAAATAAATTTGGATGGAAGGCAAGGTAGCTGAGTTTGCAACTACATTTCATCTCTGAGTTACTCAAACATTTCTTATTTCCATACTACTTTCACTAATATATTTTACCTTTTTCTTATTTACAAAAACTGGCTGCAGATTAAAATTTACCTGTGGCAGGTACCACTGTGTGACCCCAAAGGACAGAAATTATGCTCCTGCTCAGCCCTGTACCCTGCTCTTTTGAGCACTGGAGAAAGCTAAGCCCCACAGCCCCAAGGGAGAATGCAGGGGAGCCATCAGACAAAAATCAGCCTTTCTTTTCTTGCAAAAATGGGAACGCAGATTAGCAACTTTGGACACAGTCTTACACGTAGCAGCAAGTACACTGGGCATAAGAGCCCCTTCAACATGGAACATCCATCTCCAGTGGGGCTCAGATGCTCCTGGTCCCAATTTTTGTTATGAACGGAAGTAAAACTGGATTCAGTTTCTGTGCTTTCCCTCTGGTTCCCCCCTGCTCCGTTCAGAGGCAGCCCACGGGGCACAGCTGAGCCCACCCTGGCAGGGTCTGCTCGGCTGGGAAGCAGGAGCCCCGTGAGGCTCTGCACTGTGCTCACACGGGCCAGGGCCGTGCTCCAGGAACAGCAGCCTCCTTCCCCTCAGCGCCCCGTGGGATCCATTGTCCACCTCTCTACATCCCACACTTTCACACGCCTTCCTGTCACACTCATCTTACAGGAACTCAAGAAGTGCCACAGGCCACGGCAGCCAGTGCTGCTGCCCGGCGTACGGAGCGTGCAGGGCCTGCTGGGGGGGAAACGGGGCTGGAAACTGCCGGGGGGAGCGGCTCAGGAGCTACTTCAGCCCCCAGGGAACAGATGGGCTGAATGACACCGTGGAGACGATATCTCTTAGGAGTCAGAAGTATAAATAATCAGACTGCAGAGTGAGGGAAAGTTGTTTATCTGTTAGAGGAGTAGTCTGACATGGCATGGCTCTGAAAGGCACAAAATCTTCTGAAACTGAGCCCAATAATGTCACAGTAACCCCCATCTCCCATGGACAACAGTACCCCTGTGAGAGTGACACTGGGTGAGGTAACCTCTGAGGGTCACTTTGGACTACTGCTAATACAGAAAGCAGGGTTTGTTTCAGAGCTGAGTCAAGCCCTTATTGGAGTTAAATCAGAACATCTTCCAGTGTCTGAGCCTTTCCTTCTTCCTTCAGAAAACAGCAAAACCCTGGAACAAAGGGTAAATGTTTGCAGTGAAGCAGCACTCAAACTGAGGAAATATATGTCCAAATTTTCTAACAGGAATGTTTGTAAAAAAGGGTATTGCAGTGAACTCTGAACTACCCCACTGGATGGACCTGGCAATCCATCAGCAAGAACCAATTCTGTACTGAAGGTCTGACAACACAAACCATCTCCGAGTGCTGGTTTTTGAAATCGCCCCCTTCCTGCATCACCTGGTCACCTTTCATCAAACCACCTTTCCAGCTCAGCTGCCACCTGCCTGAGGAAAACCCTTCCCCCAAGGGCATGACACGGCAGTGCTGCCATCAGACTGCCATCCCCTTCCCCCACGTCCAGCAGCACGCCATGCCCTGGGCAAACCTTCTCAAACAGGCATCACAGTCTGAGGTCTGCTGCCAGCTGGCCAGGGAGTCAGGCAGCAACCTCTCCTGTGTGCCAGCCTGCAGGAACTTGCTTAGTCAGCACTGTTGGCTTGCAAAGGAGCATGAGCTGAAAGCAGCCGGACACTGCTCTGAGCAGAGGCACTGGAGCTCTGCCTCAGAGGAGGAGGAGGAGGAGGCTCGCCGCCTGGTCCGAGGGGAAGGCACCGCCCTCCAGCCGAGGGAAGAGCCTCCCCCTTGGAAGGAACCACCTTGGCTACAATAAGGGCATGAGACCCTGATAGAGGTAATGTCCCCTTCCCATGGACTTGAGAAAAGTCATCTTCATCTGCCTGCACCATTAACTTTGAAAAACGTGTCCTTTGGAGATCATACAGTGGTTCCCAAATAAATGTGTAAAACCAATACCAGTAAGAAGTTATAAGTCAGGCAACTAAACTCTAAGCTATATCGATCATAATAATCATCATCATCATTATCATAATAAAAAAGTATGCACCATAAGGTACAAGAAGCTGCAAAGCAAAGCAGCTCTAATTCCTATGACTCTCAAAGTGGCTTTTCCAAGTCTTCCAGTAACTGGACACGAGAGTTGAAAACTTGGTGGAAGACTTTGAAGAATTCTCCCTTGAAGTTAAACACACAGTTTTTGCACATATAGCGTGGATTAGTAGAGCAAAACATTTTCTTAAGAAACGTTTTTAGAGCAGACCTATGATTTTGTGTAGAAAAATCCGTTCGTTTGGGGGGTTTCTCCCCTCTTTGGCAAAAAAATGGCAAATGTGAAACAGACAAAAATGACTCGAGTAACAAGTTGCGATAATAACTGGACAAGTAACAAGGAAGCAGATCAGTCAATGGGACAGATTCCCTCAGCAGGGCTAGGCTTGATACTCTTTGAGGTCACTCCTTTTGTTCATTTTTATGATGAGACAGAAGGGTTGATGTGATAATGCTTCAGAGGCTTTAGGCATCATATTTTTTGCCGGTCCTGTGAATCTGCTGGAAGA